AACTTTGATACCGACTTTGCGAAAACCCATCGATAACTACCAATCGTTCCTGCGCGTACCATCACGATTATATCAACGCCCAAGTGGTGATTATTATCGAATTTAACGCGACGTCCTTCCCGGTCCGGAATATAAGATACAATTTCGCGGGGATACACGGGGGAGGAAGGAACAGAAGAGGAGGAGGAGGAGGAGGAGGAGGTGGTGGCGGCGGCGGCGGCGTTGGCGGTAACGGCGGCGGTGGCGGTGGCGGCGGTGTTGGCGGCGTCGGCGGCGGTGCCGGTGGTAGTTCCAACAGCAGAGACATACAGGAAGTGATGATCGCCGCGCAGAGAGATCGCGCGATTCGCATGGGCAGCGTCCGGCAGGATCTCGTCCTCGACTTGCCGCCGAGACTGCAACTCCCGGACGGCGAGGAGCGTCCGTATGGGGCGCACATGGGCCTCCATCTCCGCGACCCGGAACAGGTGAGAGCCGGGAGGTGTTTGTCTGTCTGGGAGAACTCGGAAAACTTGGAATCTATAAGAATATGATAATGATTATAACAATGACGATGACAGACTCAAAAGAATCCAGTCAAAATAAGAAGATTTCAGGTTCATGAAGATAGGTGTACGAGGATACGATAATATTGCGCTAACAGTGGAAAGCTATGTTGCCCGATCTGGCAGGAGCCATAGTAGCTGTAGGACAAGTTTGGATGCATAACGATTTGTCATTAGCTGTTCGCGCACGTTGAAAGTCCTACGACTATATTTCGACACGTGTTGCGCCGCCATATATAATTATATCTTTTTCTTGTTAGCGTAATATTACCGCGATCAACACTTAAGGTCGGCTTTTATTAGTCTGTTCTTACTTTTGTTAAATACTGATAATAATAATGATGATTATAGTGATAACTATAATAATTCTCAAGGAATACTTTTCCATCTAGGGAAATCGAGAAATTCTTACAGAGAGAGGGAGAGTTATATCAAAGGAGACGAATCTTTCTTGAAACTATCTCCTCGCGAAATCTGCTTTTATCTTGCGAGCTGCCGAAATTATACGAGAGAATTATTCTTCGCTCTATTCCCCGGTTCATCCTTTTAGGATTTACTATCTGCAATTCAACTGGCGCTTGAATTTTTCCACGACCGAGCAAGTGGAGAACACTGAGAAGTTAGTGTGGCAAGCAGATTTATCTTAAATTGGCCCGAAAATGTGTTGAAAATCGGGCCGATTCTCAGGGAAACGTTCACATCGTCTTGAGTGAACATCTCTAATGAACGTGGTCTCACGTCGTGTGAACTGACATTCGCTCGGCGTCGCGACGCAACGCAACACGACGCTCTCGTCCGATCCATTTTCTCGCCGCCGGGGGAACGACCGAAAAACATATTTATTTATTCGCTTCCTGTCGCTCCGTGAAACCCTCAGGTTCAAGTACTTATTACGCCTCGTCATCGTTCGCAAGCGCGGCGGGGATATTAAACTCCAGACTGCTTGAGCAGGGCCGGTTTTAAGGCTATCGCGATCACCACGGTCGCGATTGATGCTTCACGATAAAACTCTTCTCGCGCGTCTCACAAGTTCGCGATCATGAATAAGCGTGATGACTGTCTCTTTTTCTCTCTCTCTCTCTTTTTCGTCAAACACAGACAAATACTTGATTTTTATCTTCTCTTATCCTTTCATATGGTTGTGTGCAAGATGGCTGGCGTGTAGGTGTTGCCAAGCCTCATTATCGACCCGGGACTACCACCTTGAATCTCGAAGATTCGCGCGAATTTCCGCCGTTCCGTATCTCGCTCGACCGGTCTGTGTAACTAACGACTAATCGAATTCCTCGTTTCCAGGAGAGCGAGATTTACCAGAAGTGCGTGCGACCGCCGCCGAATCGCACGGTGTTCGATAGCGAGAGCCCGCCGCCTTACCGCAGCCACTCGGGACTGGTGACGGACACGCCCGGTGAGCGGCTGATGCGGAGCAACAGCGCCGGCAGCTCGCTGCTCAAGGTGTTCCGGAGGTTCCCGCATTCCGGCGGCTCGACGCCGGCGGCGTCGGTGGTGGTGCCGAGCAGAAGACCGGCCATGTCCAATTATTCCGAGTCCAGTAGTAACCTGAGCAATCTGAGCAGTAGCAATCTGTCCAATCTCACCGTGGTGCCCTGTGAGACCGAGGAGAGCCGGCAGGAGCAGCAGCAACAGCAACAGCACCATCACCACCATCATCATCACCATCACCACCACCACCACCATCATCATCACCACCACCAGCAGCAACAACAACAGCAGCAGCAGCAGAACGTCTGATCCGTGGTAATAAGACCGTGGGAGAGAACGCGCGGCGACGCCGCATCGTCGTCCTCTTCGTCGTCACCGGTGACAGGGAGGGCGACATCCTTCCTGCTCGCGCTGAGGAACGACGCTGTTGCCGTCGTCATCGTCGTCGTTGTCGTTGTTGCCGCAGCTGCAGCTGCCGTTGCTGCTGCTGCCGTCACCGCTGCTGCCGCCGCTGCTACTGCTGCTGCTGCTGCTGCTGCTGCTGCTGCTGCTGCTGCTGCTGCCATTGTCGTCGCAGCCGCCGCATCGCCCGACTTCGAGAACGAGCGATGGATCGACGACTGTCCTTCAAGACTGACTCGCGGGAGAAGCTTCAACATAGGATAGGTCCCCCGGTCGTGTCCCATCGTGTTCAGCGAGGAGTATTGCACATGTCAACGCGCGCGATGACTTACTCCGCACGGTGCACGAGACACTGGAATGGAGGGTATCCCTGCCGGTGGTATCCTCGTTGGATCGTTCTTCCGACGTTCTTAATAATGAGAGAGAATGAGAGAATGAGAGAGAACGAAAGAAAGAGAGAAAGAGAGAGAGCGAACGAGAGAGAGAAAGAAAGAGAGCGAAAGAGGATCGTCCGTTCGTGGCCTAAAGGGGAGGGCCGGTGGAGGGTGGGAAGCCGGCTCCGGACTGACTGGAGTGAAATCGTCAGTCATCAAAGACTGCGCTCAATCGCGGTGCGTTGGTTCGCCTGTCCTCTTTCTCCACCGGGGCGGTCGACGCGCCCGCGGCGTCGCCGTCGCCGTCACCATTGTCGACGACGACGTGTCTCATTGTGCAATTCCACACGCGGCCAGTGTCTAGCCTAGATCTCAGATTATTCCAAAGCGACGGTTTTAGCGAGGGTTGGAAGAAAATCAACAGAGAATGGGAGGTAGAAAGAGCGAGAGAAGGGGGAGGCAGTCGAGAGAGCCCGGCGTGGTGGAGAACCGCGTTACCAACGCGCGACGCGAAGAAGCGGCCTACCTGGTAGTTGGACGTGAAGATTCCCCCCTCTGTCCGGGAATTTCTGGTGAATACGGCGAAGAGGCTTCACTTCGCGACGGAGCAACGGATGGGCGAGATTCACGGCTCGCGCGATCAGCCGGCGGCACAACATAGCAGATTGGATATCCCGGCCGCCGGTCGCGCCTTCTCTTCCGGCCCTCGTCGGAGGCTCGATTCGTCGGACATCGCGGAAGTTTGTTCATCGCGACACGAAGACTTAGTAAATTATTTATTGCCGACACACGATATTTTATTCGCGACGGGCGGCTGCTGCGCAACACGCGGCCGGACAGGGCGAGCGGTTGGTTTCGCGCGGTGGTTGGTGGTTTTGTTGTGCGGAGAAACGACAGACGGGACACACACACACACACGCGAGTTGTTGTATGAGCGAATCGTTCGATGCTGATGATGATTATAACGATAACGATGACGATGATGTTGATGATGATGAAGATAAAGATGAAGTTGATGATGATGATGATTGCGTGAGTGCGGCCAGGCGTGCGTACGAGTAAATGCAACGCGCGCGCGCGCGCGCGCAGAAACGAGAGAAGAGCCGAAGAAAGCGAGAGAGAAATGGCCTGATGATAGGTAGCTGAATAGAGATAGGTAGGACGAGAGAGAAACTGTGCAAAGGAGCGCGGTTAATTGCAGGGTCGAGAGAAGGAAATACCTGGAGAGGGCAAGAGAAAGAGAGAAAAAAACGAGGGATTATAGGAAGAAGAAGGCGTGCACGCGCGCGTTGCGTATGCGTGTGAGAAGCTAGGAGGATTAATGTAGTGCCAAGAGTGAAAACGGAAACTCTGTACATATTAGGCTAGGTAGTTCAATATCAATATACTTATTACGACTAAAAACGATATACTACGTACCGATTTAAAGGTAAACATCAAACATACGTTACAACACGCATACCATAAAACACGAGATGGCCAGCCGTACGAGACCACGACGGGGCGCGCACACGCCTCTGACGAGTGTGCATTCTTCCGACGATGTGCGACGTCAAGTGTGTTCTTCTTCGTAGACTGCGTGTACCTCGAGCGATCGGCCATGTCAAGTTCTTTACGGCGCAAAGGCATTTTCGGCTCACGCTACGCGATAATCTGCTTTGCAGCTCTAGAGATTAAGCGATCAGCTTGATCTCTCTGGAACTGTAAAGATTATTCTTCTAAAAAGGAAACTACTCGAAAAAAGGCATGCAGTAGAGGGAATTTACTTGAATCTTGCTCGATCCTACGAATTTACGCGTACTAAAGTAATTGGAAACGATCAAAAGCCGATTTCCCAATCTTGCTTAGCGACTGAATAAATACGCTTCTTCCTTCTCTTTGGATTAATTTCAAGGATAATTGATACGAAGAGAGAGAAAGAGGGGGGGGGGGGGGG